AAGAGTTGATAGCAAACGAGATGGAAAATGCATGGAAAATAAAGAGATTTCAGGCTCTGTTGGGTTAGTTCTAGCACTGGAACTACTGGAATTGTCCTTGGCCCTGCTTTTATGTTCTCCATCTAAGTATCCCAGATTAGTAAAAGTCATCATTTAGCTGAATCAAGGGCCCTGATTTAGAGCCCTTCAAACCACAGAGAACAGTAAATTGGGGAGCTTCTGCCAGAACAGGTAAGGTGGCTATAGCCAACAGTTAGTTGGGTTTGGCTTCTACTCCCAGGCTGTGTTCCATATACAATTTTCCATGAAGTAAGTAGGAATATATTTAGCATCACTGGGAGGGAATCCTCAGCAGTGTATCCAAGAAAGTTCAGAGCCACGCGAAAACTGGGGTGAATTTAATCCTAGGGGTAAGAAATATATTTGAAAGGTTTAAAGAATTGGAAGAAATCCAAGTGGGCCAGAAAGAATGATGCATCATTTTTTTAAACTTAGAGCATAAATATGGATTTTAAATGTGTACAATGGAATATAAATGGGCAAAATACCACAAAAAAGAAATAATTATATTCCATTATTTGAAAAAAATAAAACAAATAGAATAGAATAGAATTCTTTATTGGCCAAGTGTGATTGGACACAGAAGGAATTTGTCTTGGTGCAAATGCTCTTGGTGTACATAAAAGAAAAGATACATTCGTGAAGAGTCAAGAGTCATCAGATGAAAAGATACATTTGTGGAGAGTCAAGAGTCATCACTTAATGATAGTCATAGGGTACAATAAGCAATCAAATCATACTAGGAAACAGTCAATATAAACCGTAAGGATATAAGCGACAAAGTTACAGTCATACAGTCACAAGTGGGAGTGGATGAGTGATAAGGAGTGATGAGGAGGTTAACAGTAATAGTAGTGCAGACTTTTGAAATAGTTGGACAGTGTTGAGGAAATTATTTATTTAGCAGAGTGATGGTGTTTGGTAAAAAACTGTCCTTGTGTCTAGTTGTTCTGGTGTGCAGTGCTCTATAGGGTCATCTTGAGGGAAGGAGTTGAAACAGTTTATGTCTGGGATGTTAGGGGTCTGTAAATATTTTCACAGCCCTCTTTTTGTAATTTATCTCTAGGAAACATATATATGAAAAAAGATACAAAATATTTGATTTATAAAAATTTGAGACAGAAATTTATTTTGATAGGGGCAAGTAAGAAAAACAAGATTGTTTTGTACATAAGCCCAGAGTCATTTTAAATCAAGATAGGCAGCAAATAAATTTAATAAATAAAAATAAATTAAATTCACAATTATAACAAAAATTAATATTGACTGATGACTATGGCAATATTTGAAGAAGTGGAAAATTAATTTGAATGACATCAAGATTATGATAGTTGGAATATGTACCCCAAATTTTAATAAAGCTATATTTTAAAGGATTTACAGAAAAATTAATAGACTTGCTATGAGAATTGGTGCTTCTTGAGAGACTAGAATATAAACAAGAATTATGGTAACAACCAATTCACCCAACTAAGTGACAGAAGAATAACTGCCGAATTTTCAGGGTTTTTCCCCCCTATGAATGACAGTTTCACTACGTCAGCTAGTAAGCAAAATGTTTCCAGGCACTGAAATTGGCAAGAAATATACATAAGCATGTATAACAGCCACTTCATCAGCTTACTGGTATGCTTGTGAAATATTTCTTCCACAGAGATAAATGCCACTTCATCTTCAGCAAGCTCTCATTATTTAAACCTATTTCTTGATTTGTGCTTAGAGACAAAACTCAAGTGGGAATACAGGATATGAGGTACATGATAAGAAATTCATTTCTGTTTCATACCCTGACATGTTGGCATTAAAAGGTAAGATATTAGTAAGTCAAATCTCATTTCAGCAATGAAACCCATTTACCAGAAACAAACCAGGAAAGAGGGTCCCTGCTACTCCCATCTATTCCATAGGAACTCTCTTCCAGTCCCGATTACTATAGTAGTTTTTGAGTACACATTGATTTATTTATTTTATTTTATTATTTTAAAATGAGGTGAGATTGATCTATCTCCCAAAGAGGGGAAGAAGGATTAACATCTTTAGTCACATACAGCTACTCTACTTAACCAGAGGCATATGACTAGGCTGCACTGTTGAAATTATTTCACTTTTTGCACTTTTACATTTTGATCAGTAAGATTTCTCAGAAGTATTTTTAGGGGGCAGATGCTTCACCCCAAACATTGGCACATGCTTCAGTCCCAACCAATTTGGACAACTGGCTGGTAAGCAGCACAATACCACTGCGTACTTTAATTAGACAAGAAAAAAGGGAAACTTTAAAAGCACAATGATTTATGTATGTGACAGACCACTTGAAAATATTTAATCATTTTAATGCATTTATCAGCAGCCATATGGCAAGGCTATTCAGTTCTACTATTCTAAAATAATTAAATAATTAAACCACAGAAAACAAGTAGCCAATGTAAACATGCAAAATCAAATACTTTTAAAATACACTGTTGCACTGATTTAAATATCATATGTTTGAATTGTTTGGAATCGCCCCACCAAAATATGGGACAAATATGAACAAAAGGCAGCTGAGTGAGAAGGTAACATAAAAGAGACAACTTGCAAACAGGAAATTAGTTTTTGCATTTACGTCACCATTACTTTCCCCTGCACCTCTTTTGGGATCATTCAAAAAGTAAAGTTGATAGTTCAAGAGGTATAGAGAAGCAGCAAAAAGAGGAAGGATTAAGTAACTGTTGTTTGCCTATTGTTCCCCCAGATCTTTCCATCTCCTTGTTGGCAATTTATATTCTCAGAAGTATAATGTGTTGCCAACATTTATTTTAGCTTTAGATTGACTTTATATTGGTTAAGAAAGCATCAAAAGATTGTTTCAATTCTGTAATTCTTGTGTGTGAGATTTCTGTGAATAGACCTAAAATGTTACAAATGAAGGCAATTATATGTGTCCCAGGATAATGTTGCAGGATCCAATCTGGGTTGGTCACTGGGTCCAGAGATTTAGTCTTCCGATCTTTCAGACCTGTGCTGGAGATCCTAACTAATTGATAGCCTCACATTGCAATGAACAAGGAATACATTCAATTTTGGAGCTACTAAGATTGTTGGATGAGCAGGCACAAAAATAGCCAGGGAAGTGATTGAAGCCTGGAAAACAGCCCCCTTGTCAGTCAACAGGAGTGTTAATTTGCCACCAGCTTATCAAGTACTTAGGAGGTGAGGGCTTGGTAGCACAAAGAAACAACAGCCAATAGATTAATACCTAGCTATCAACACTCCAATCAACACCTAAAAAGGCACACACAACAGGCACCATGTAAATGCCACACAGTGAACAGCCCAAAGCACACACTCTGCTAGAGAGAAGTTCCCTTATGATGGGCTCCAGCACAAATCCGAAAGCGCGGAAGACTGAATCTTTGGTCCTAGTCACTGACCCAGATTAGAGCTAAAGTTTATTCTGAGTAATCTTGATAAATTACTAACAGAATACTGAGTTGGAAGGGACCTTGGAGGTCCTCTAGTCCAACCCTCTGCTCAAGCAGGAAATCCTGTACCATTTCAAGACAAATAGTTGTACATTTTGAATGAAGTCACTGAAATCTTAAGAGACCATTCCTGTAAAGTGTTTCACTAAAAGCAAGACCTAACTTTATATAGTGCAAAAGAATTCATACAGGTTGTCCTTAACTTATAACAATGGCACTAAATTTTAGATTTTGCTGCTTTTTTATTTGAGAAACTAGTAAGTTTTAAATGTGTGCCCATTTAAAAAGTCAAAGGCACTAGTAACTGGAAGTATACTTGGAATTACTTTCTAAAAGTGTATGTGTGTACACACACACACACACACACACACACACACACAGATAATTCATTGGTTTTATCATTTCTATATTAATTACCACTTGGGGGTCTATATTCCATTTTGTATTTTCTATTTGTGCTATATTATTTGTAAAATTTGTCTGGTCACCCAACTCAACTTGGTGATACTAGGTACCTCAAAACACAAAAATGTAAAGCACAATATATCTGTCAGCCTCCATGACACTTTCATGAGACCTCATGCTGCTTGCTTACTGTTGTCTGCCATAGAAATGGGGGGAGGGGGAGTTTGGTATTTGGGAGGGGAAGTTTGCTGGAGAGTGGAGAGTAGAGTGGTTCTTGTGTGAACCAAGGAGGGGGGATACTTTCCTGCTTACTGCGCAGCTGCATGGACTTATCTCTGCCCAGCCAAGGTCAACCATCTTGGCATACCAGATGAGGGAACACCCACCTGTAGATGTACCTCACATGACACTTATATGCACTTCAGATTAGATGTCCAATCTGGACCCTTGGGGGAGGGAACTTAGGATAACTTTCAATATGTAATTTTCGTACCTATTGTCTCAGATTTTGCTTTCTTTTGTTGCTATCACTTCATACCCAATAAAAGTAGCTTTTCTCTACAAATATGGAGTTATGGGGTTTTCTTGGGTTTTGAATGGAGGCACATACATTTTTAAATAAAAACATGAGTAGAAATCGTAAATCTGCATATAATATAGACATGTGGATTTATTAATATTCATTTTGAAAGGAAAAGACTTCAAGTCAAAATTATATTAAGATTTAAAATTACTGAATATCACTGATAAATATAGGTTCTTTTTGCTTCTGAAAGATCTTGTTTAAATGTCAGTTGACTCAAAATAACTCTACATTTATCATTATAAGTATCTTTGCTTCTTGCTAACACAAGAATATCATGCAACAAAAAATCATTGTGAAGAAATCAGAGTTCAGATGTTGAAGAACCATAATATTCACTCAAAATGATTTTGAATACATTGCTGGTTGGAGAAAGCCTCCAACTAAGAAATTTGTACATGCGTCTGAATTAGGTCAGTCGAAATGAACTCATATGAAGTTGTGATGACATTTTCACATTTGTAATCCTTTGCCTGCACCCCAACGTTTTAAAGTGAGGCCTCTATTTCCATTTGGTTTGCTTCTTCCTCAAGAAAACATGCACGATTGTTCTGAAGTCTAGAAGGTTTGTTGAGAGAAATACCATCCAGCCTCTTCTCTTCCTCTTCATCAGCCTCTTCCTGAGCCCACTGGGGCATGCAATCATGTTCAGAGTTGCTCCTAACATACCCAGGCAAATTTATATGGGCATCAATCTGTCCTGGGCCATTCCTGCATGCCTTGCTGGAAACCAGCCTCATACGGGAGCTGGCACCCACCTGAGCCTGGATGCTGACACTCTGAGTCATGTTAGTGAGGACAGAACCACAGTGAGAATTCCCACAAGGCACATTCCTCTTCCAGTCCATGGCCAAGTTCCACTTATCCCATGTCTTCTTCAGCTCAGCCTGCACCTAAAGAAATAGAAAATATCCAGATCAGAATGCCAGGAAGAAGCCAATGTTTTGAAGAGTTTATCTCACCTTCACTTAAAATTAAGCTTTTCCTTTAATATTATATTTACAACTGAATATGCTGTACTCTTCCACAGGAATGTACAGTTTGCTGGAGTTGCACACTGTTTAAGGCAGGGATGTCAAACTCAAGGCCTGTGGGCCGGGCCAGGCCCATGACATGGTTGGATCTGGCCTGTGTGGCTGTCCTGAAAACAGTAAAGGTCCTAAAGGGACACAGGCCGGACCTTTACTGTTTCCAGGACAGCCGCACAGGCCCAGCCCCACCCATCCTGGCAGGCATGCATGTGTGCAGGAGGTGGCAGGTACACACATGCATAGGCCAAGCCTATACCAGGCACATGTGTGCACAGGAGAAGGAGAATATAGAAGGAGAATATATGTGCACAGGCCTGTCCCTACAGTAGGCGGGCCCATGAGCGTCTGCCAGGATGAGGTGGGCCGGGTCTGTGCACCCATGCACCCGCATCCTGTCCACATGCATGACTGCTGGGATGGCATGGGTCGAGCGAAGTGATACGCGCACCCGCTGGGATGGGAGGGCAGGACTAAAATGATGCTGGCCAGCCCCTTACTATTTCCAGGCTGGCCGCCCTTACCAGCCTTTCAGGTGTGTGTGTGCGTGGTGGGGGGAGATGTCCAGAAGCAGGGACTCTGTAGCTGGCCCTCCAAGAAACAGGCATGGCAGCGGCAGTAGAGTGGGGGGAGGCACGAGATGCGGACCACCAGACGTGCCTGCTCCATCCCACCCCCTTTGGCTTGCGGTTGGAGAGCAGGTCGCCACTAGTCATTTTCTTGGGCCCCTTGTGGATCTTGCCCTTGGCCCGCAGGTGGAATGTGTTCCCATCACGCATCCAATGCACTTTGGCACCACCAAAGCCACCAGCAGCTTGCGCAGGTCCATTAGGCTGCTGCCATCGCTGCCAGGTCCACCCAGCCCGAAGGAGGCAAAGCGGTCAGCTAGAAAGGCCAAGCGGAAGTGGTAAAAGCATGCCCATTTCCAGCAGGCAAAAAGTGACCACTGTGAGCAAGGAAAGCTTGATCTCATCAGCGCTATGGCCGCCCAAGTCCAGCAGGGATCGCATGCCTCCCCCCATCTCTGCTGGGCAGCCAGAGTACTGATGCAGATCAAGCTTTCCTTGCTCACGGTGGCCGCCTTTTGACTGCTGGGAATGGGTGTGTTTTTACCACTTCTACTCGGACTTTCTAGATGGCCGTTTCATCTCCGACGGGAGTCTGGGTCTGCAGGGCAGTGGTGGAGTTGCTACCAAGGAGCTGTCAGGAGTAGAGACCTGTAATGATGCACCTCCTTCACTGGGGCTGCTCAGTAAGGAAAGCCGAGCCCCACCCTGTCCTGCGAGCAGCAGCTCCACAGCACTTTCGGGGTGCTGCCCGACTGATGCAGCTCCTTCAGACAGAGCTCCCAAGGCTGTGATCCCTTCCCTGATCTGAAGGCAGCCTTCTGTCTTACAACCCCCCCGCTTCCATATCTCCATTCCGAGCTGAGGATCACAGCCAAATTCCCTGCTTGGCCGGTGTTCCCAGAAGGTGCAGCTTAGGGATAACAGGGCTTCCCTCCATGTGAGCAGTCGAGTTGGCAGGGCACTGTCTGAACTGGTGTCTGGGACTCAAAGGTCCTCTTCCTCCAGGCTTAGGACTGGAGACGCTTCCTACCACGCACCACGCTTCCCTGCTTCAGGGAAGCCCAGCCAGGTGCTGTATATTGGTCTGGTAGCAGACGGGGAAATGCCGCTCCCTCCCCTGCTTCCTGCAGGGACTGCTGGTGGAGCACCCCTGACGTGCATCCACCACTGCAGTCAGGTGCACAAGGGAAACATGTTCCACGCACAGGCCAAGGGCAAGACCCATGAGGGGGCTGAGAAGATGACCAGCAGTGACCTGCTCTCCAACTGCAAGCCAAAACAGGCAGTGAGACAGAGTAACCATGTCCAATGGCCTGCATCACGTTCCTTCCCATGGCTTCCACTTGCTGCTTGGATGGCCAGCTTGGTGCTGGCAGCAAGCTCCGGAGCAACAGTGTATGCCAGCTGAGGGGCTGGCAGGCTGCGTCTACAGTCAGAAACCATTCCCCCCCTGCACACAAAGGGCAGCGAACGATGGTTTTTTGGCTGTAGCTGCCCTGCCCCCTGCCTTGCCCTGTGGGACGAGCCTCCCACTCATCACCCCACCCATCGAAGACCCCTGGATTCCCTCCCCAATCCTGCCCAAACCCACAGGCACCACCCATGTGAGTCAAGTGGTTGCCCCTTCCCCTGGCCACACACAAACAGCCCATGGAGGACAACCACAATGCTGATCTGTCTCTCAATAAAATTGAGTTTGACACCCCTGGTTTAAGGTATTGGATTGGGACTAAGTAGGGCCAGGTTCAAGTTTCTCCTCAACCAAAACATTATCTGGGTGTTTTTAGACCAGTTACTATCACTTAGCCAATAATTCAACAGTTATTGTTGTGGATGAATTGGAAGAATATATTTACTAACCATTTCTGTAGAGGAAATATGGATATAAATATAATAAATGTATTAGAATTAAAAATAAGTAATAGGGTAGTAGGGGACTACAACTAAAAGAATATGGAGCAGCAGTACTACAGCACATATCATGGGAAAACAAAGAGTTGCTAAGAGCACAAGCTTTGCTGACAGAATTAATTTCAATTCTATTCCCATTGGCATGAGGATTAGAATTGATTTTAAGCAAAACAAGAAATGTTCCAGAATAAAAGTTACATGTATATATTGGTTCTAGTGACTGTGAAAAATTACAAGTCTCCAAAAGAATAATTTTTTGTATTGGGTGCAGATACTAAGATTGATACTTAATGTGTTAGTCAGACCTCTCAACTTCCTCTCTATACCAAAAATAAATCTGAAGAGATAATTAACCAAGTGAACAGGTATTTAAAAGTGAGAGCTGAATCATAAGCAAGATTCTGATGCATACTTTTGCTTCCCACTTATTCTTCTACTTGACCACTCAGTTAAGATGGACATCATTCACCTTTTATTACTTAAATTGTTTGGGGTTTTCTTTGTAAAATAAATGCAATAATACCTGACTTACAAAGCACGCTATCACCTTCCATGGCAACATTTCATTGGGAATATAATCATAAATAAATGCTAGGAGTCAGGGCAACCCATATATAATCTCCCGCTCATGCAGAGAAAGTTCTAGCTGACATTAATCAAATATAGTTTGCGCTATGTAACTTTGTAACTAACAAATCCCATTGATTTAAATAAATGCACTCTAAGCATGAATAATTTGGATTTAATACAGTTATGGAAATCTATTCTGAACCTGTAATTATCTGCTTCTTCAGACATGAACATGCATATATACAAACCATTGAAACAAAGACAAATGACATAGTTGCTTCTGTTTACTGTTCTACAGTCAGGGAGGAAGAAATTTATTTCAGGTAAATTAATATATTCTGCAGCAAAGAAGAAGGAAACATTCCCAGAATTCTGAAGTGAAAGATCAAACCTAAATCTGCCGTTCTAGAGACTGGGCAGAGACAAGCAAAACCTGGAAAACTAATCAAGGAGAATATTTGTAGCTCATCACCCAGGAAACTCTCATTCTAGGCAACCGGTTGGGAACAGAAAAGTTCTCTTCTCTAGGTGAGCTTTTAGAAGAGGCCAGCGTTGTTTTGCCTTTGTTCCTTTGCTGCCCTCTCTGGGGGAGATGGTATTTGTTCCTAATTGCCTTCAACTAGGTAAGAAATCCATCCCAGTTTGGAGAAGAGGTAGAGAATCGGAAAGAAACAGGCATCCATGCAAATGTTGAACCTTGGCTTTTTCCAGTTTCATTTCATGGATGGATCCAAGTTGTTTCCATCCGATAATATGGAATTTAATGTGGAGAAAAGCAAAGTTTTACACTTAGGCAGGAAAAACCAAAGGCAGAAGTACAGATTAGGCAAAACCTGGCTCAAAAAGAATAACTGTGAGAGGGAGCTTGGAGTCCTAATGGACAATCACTTAAACATGAATCAAGCAGCCCCAAAAGTAAATGCTACCGCTGGTTGCACAAACTGAGGGATAGAGTCAAGATAACATTAAGTATTAATACTGCTTTATAAAACATTAGTAAGGCCACCCCTGGAATTCTGCATTCAGTTTTGGTCACCAAATTACAAAAAAGATATTAAGACTTGGGAAAAGTGCAGAGAAAAACAGCAAAGACAAGTAAGACAATTAAAGGCCTGGAGACTAAAACATGAAGAACAGAAGCCATCTATGTCACAACTGAGCAGCCTTCTCTTAACAGAGGGGGAGGAATACAACATCAACTGTTTCCAATCTACAACACAGTCCTTTCAACAATTCCAAAACGGCTCCATACCAATTTCACCACTTAGTTGACCCTGATGACAAGATAAACCTCCAGGTGACCTTAATGACTCGCTAAAAGAATGCAATTGTCCAGCTGTCTGCAAGGTGTATACATAAATCCTTCCATTCCCCACCATCCAGTCAGAGATGGTGGAACGTCTTTAAAAAAATGGATGGAAACTAATCAAGGAGAGAAGCACCTAGAATTAAGGAGAAACTTCCTAACAGTGAAAGCAACCAATGGAACAGCTTTTGCCTTCAGAAGTTGTGGGTGCTTGGTTACCACTTGTCTAGGGCAAGTGGTATACCATGTGTGCTGGAAGTGGCATGTAGAACTATCTCTCTGGGCATGCCAGCTGTCGCCCGTTGTTCTTCTAGGTTCCGGTGTCCGCATGTGAGCATGCATGCGCTGGGAAGCTAAGCTTCCGGTTTCTGGTGCTCCCATGTACACACATGCACCGGGGACCTTTCAGTTTCCCACACTCGGTGCCGAAAAGATTGGCCATCACTGGTATAGGGTTGAGCAGGGGGGTTGGATTAGAAGACATCCATGGTTCCCTTCCAACTGTAAATAAACCTATATAGTTCTAACATATCCCCCTTTGTTGTGCCTGAAAAATGTATTATGAATTAAATCCTGCAGGTTCTTTGATATTTTCCTTTTCACTTACTTCCAATATTAGCTCCTTGATCTTAATCAACATCAAGCAATGCATATTTGTGGGGCTCAGCAGACTCATTTTGAAAATAAATTTAACCTACTATACACCCCAGCCGCTCCGCTAGCTACAGAAAGGATAGCTAGCTGCAAGCAGAGGTAGTTTTCCATGCACATCCCCTTGAAATAAAGAGACACAGATGAATTTTCTCCATAGAGGAGAAAAGACTGTTGGGAGAGTGTAACATGGAGGTGGGGGGAGGATAAGAACCCCCCCCCCAGAGAAAAACAGAGGGGCAATCCATGGTATCTCTGTGCATAAATATGAAAATACACACACACACACCCCACACACCCCAACTGCACATCCATTATCTACTAGAAACTTACCTCTCCATTACAGTAGCAATAGATGATAGAGACAAAAAAGCCCTGAAGGTAGAATGGAGAATAAGAATTTAAAAAGGAACATAATTATCATTATCTTGAACCATAAACTAAATAAATATATTTCACAATAAAATCTATACCTATAAGCAGGGGCCAGATTTATGGCACCAGGATAAGGTTAGTATTGTTATAAGGACTAAAGAATCCGGATTATGACTACCATTAGGCATTAGGATTATTGTATTAATTATTGGAAAGTTATAGCTAATGTAAGTGTTAAAGTTTATGGTTAGTATTGACAACAGAGTTAAGTTACAGTTGGGCTTTAGTGGTAAGTTTTTGTAAGGTTTAAGGCTTAGTTGGTATTTGTTTTTATGGCTGAATTTTAGGGTTGAATTACAAGTAGGTTTGGCTCAGGTTGGAGTTAAGATTAGGAGGATAGGATTAAATAGTTTTGATTGGGTTCAGATTTAGTGCTAGATTTGTTGTGTCTAGTTAGAGCAAAATTGGGATTAAGGTTAGCTGAACTGTAATGCTAACAAAATCTAGTGTTATTAGGCTTAAGTTAGTGTTACAGTTTGGCAAGGTTTAAAACAATGCTAAGTTAAGGGTTGGACAATATTGGTGGTTAGGGTTCATGTTTACTATCATATTACGGTAGCAGTAGAGTTTTACGGTTAGTTCTGCTGTTAGTGTTAAAAAGTTTTATGATTGATTTAGTAATGGCTTTATAATGTAAATTTAACATTTTCATTAAAGTGGGTAACAGACTCCTATCACCCTGTCTGGGTGGGTTTTATTTTTATTTTTGAATGTATAATGATCAAACATTAATAGAAAGAGATTGTGAGAGATCTAAGATTGGTTTTAGCTTTATAAATACCCTGGGGAAACTAGACTCAATAAATTTTGTAGTATAATGCAAGCACATAGTCTCATTCTTTTAAGATAGAATGTGTACAATATTTGCAATGTGTTACTAGGAGTTCTTAGATTTATTTAAAACCACAGCAAGAATATAGCTTGATCTGCAAGAGGTAATTTCTTAAAGATATCATTCCACTCTGTCATTCAAGAAATAATTTTAAACTGATCTTCAATGATCAGATGATGCAATGGAAAAGGTATAGAGGAAACAGAAGAGATTCTGAAATGTTATAAATACATTTCATTTCAAAATATATTTAATTGGCAGACTTTGATGGAGCATAGTAATTTCTCTGTGTCATATAATATATGTGAATATATGCATAAGTATGTATTTATTTCATGTAGTGTGTATTGAAGGTGATGACCCTTTGAGAGCTGTATGCAACAAAATTTCATTTTAACATATGCCGTTTAGTGTACATTCAAAGTGACAATAAAGTTATTATTCTATTCTATTCTATTCTATTCTATTCTATTCTATTCTATTCTATTCTATTCTATTCTATTCTATTCTATTCTATTCTATTCTATTACTCCAGGATTGTTGTATTTTTCATTCATGCAACAGAGATTGGAAGGCATTAAATGTTATGGCATGATCACTATGCTGAAGCTGTATTTTTTTTTTTCTCCAAGGACTACAATATATTGTTTCAGTAGGCTCAGTGCTTACTTCATATCTTTAATGCAAAAGATTTTAAGCGCAAATACTGCTAAAGAGTTTTGGATCGCCACATACATAGAAAATATTTTTACAAAAGAAACTCCACCAATAAATATTTTTTCAGGGCTTTCTTGTGCCAATCCTTTGAGAAAACAACAGAAGGATATTGTAGAGCTTTAGAAGCAAACAGATGTCTTATGGTATGGGATTTGAGAACTGTAATCAATTTTGCTACAAATACGTACCAACTCCTGTGGTCAAACTGGAAGATCAAAAGCTAGCTACATCGGGGAATTATGGGAAAGCTGGTGCTTCTTTTATGCAGCATCTTTAGCAGAAAAGAGGAATAAGAAGCCTTTGGAATCATCTCTGTTCCTAGTCTTATCCAGAGGACTTTAGGGTTGCTTTTCAGAGTTTAAGAAATGTGTGCAGACTAAATTGCATGCTTACAATATAAGTATAATTTGTTTTTCAATTACTGCTGAATTTTGGAGCATGCCATTCCTTTTCATTAGATATCTCTTGCCCTGCAGCAAGCAATATGGCAATGTGGCCCAAGTTTTGTAACTGAACATTTGAGTGGTTCATAAATGAAAAAGTAGTACCATGCCACCAGACCTGAAATGAGTTGAAGAAGAGTTCACAGTGCATCCGGATCTCCCAGCCTAACCCCGTGAACGTGTGAGGTAGGCACACAAAGATAATGTAATGCACACCAAAGACGAGGATCAAAATTAAAGTGGATTTTGCTAGTTTTCTGGAAGAAAGTTAAGAGAAGGTATAATTATGAGACTGTCACATGTTGCATAAGATGAATATGACATAACCTGCAATCTTACACATTCCAGGTTTCTTAGCTATAAAGGGTGTTTGCCAAAGGGGAATGTCCGAATGTGTAAATTTGGACAAAGCAGAGTCAATTCTATGGAAGCTCAACCTCAGAGTTCCCCAATCTTTTTGGCTTTGCGGATCAATGAAGGGGGGAGGAGAGGAAATGGTTCTGCGTATACAGTGGGCAAGCGCACACATGTGTGTAACTCATTTGTGCAAGGGGCAGGCATGTGTGCCTGCCGCTTGCACAAATCGACTGTGCTCACACACTGCTTGTGCAAGTGGGGATTGCATGCGCATGTGCTTGCCCACACACCACTTCCACAGCCCAGTTCTGAAAGGCTCAAGGCAGAGGTGGTATTCAGCAGGTTCTGACCAGTTCTGGAGAACCGGTAGCGGAAAATTTGAGTAGCTCAGAGAACCAGCAAATACCACCTCTGACTGGAGATTTTACAATATCCTTCTCCTGCCATGCCCACCAAGCCACGCCCACAGAACCGGTAGTAAAAAAAATGGAATCCCACCACTGGTTCAAGGCCTGGTAGTGGGCCTAGAGGTTGGGGCCTAGAGGTTGGGGACTCCTGCTCTACCTTGAGTACTTGCTGATCTCACTCAGAGCCTAGAAATCTTTATAGGTTAGTCTGGTTAAATCACAGAGACCAAATGTTTTCTATTCTTCATTTTGATGCTGGAAGAATATTTCTGGAGTTGTTTGTTATGATGCTTGTCATTCTTCCTACTGCTATAATCTCATGAGTATCTTTTCCTGTACAGTTCCTTTTTTGTAGAACTGAAACAAGAGTAGCAGTTTACCATTCAGAACGTTACTGCTTATTTTGCTTTATCTCTGGTTTTATTTATCAGACAAACATAGTTAAATATGGCTTATATCATTGCTTCATATTTTTCCCCTAAGAGTAATTGGTTTGCAGCATGGAACTTAGTAAATCATATTTATCCATCCACCCTTGTAATGTCTGGCTTTAATTAACTTGATAGCAAGACTAAAAAAAAAAGTAACAACACACTGAAAGACTTCTAGTTTTAATTGGGAGGTCCAGCTTATAAAGTTTGGTGAACTACAAAAACACATTGTGTAAAAAGCACAGCATGTCAGCAGCTTGTCCTGGGTTAATATTAATTTGATCTTTTTATTTCTATTTGTGTGCAGGGTGTATGTGTAGGAGGAATGTTTAATCAGTATGAGGACCTGGGATACTTTTGTAAGTATTAGTTTTGGTGTACTATTTTCAACCTGATTGTGAATTGTGATCTGACAAACAGATCTTAATAGTTAATATGACAGGACTTGAAAACCTTATTATGAAATAGATTTACAATCTGTCTGCATCTCATTCTATATGTCCTTTCTGTATCTGTGAAACTACTTAATTAAAATTGTTGCTAGCTGCTTTCTAGTTGGTCAAAAGAGACACAGCATGCCAAGGTATTGTAAGAATAAATTTTAGATGTCTTCATCATCTCTTTTGAGTAGTGATTCCCTTTTATTCATCAAATACAACTGGAAAATTCAGATAATGGAATTACCAGTTTATTAACTGCCAGTAATCTAACACATTCATGAATCTCCATGTAAAACTGACTTAAATATGATTACTATTAGATAAGCCAACAAGAAGAAGAAATATGCAGATTGCTTGAGCAATTATGGTAAGGGCCATCATTCAAAAATCAAGTGCTTCTTTGCATGCAGAAGATTCAATGATTATATTTTTTAGAGGAGACTAGTAAAGACTGTTGTCTAAAATCCTGCAGAGCTAGATGAATAAAAGGTTTATTTGCTAGAAGACTGCTTCTGTTGTCAGAAATTGCAGTTGTGGTTTAATTAGTCCTGCATTAACTATTATGCAAAATAAATACGTTCTTAGAGCAGGAAGAGAAGCAGCACCACAGAGTTTTATTCTCCCAGCTATCATGCCTTTAACTCTTTCCCTGCCACATTCAAATTTTGTTCAGCATTTACTGATTCAAAAGTCTCCCATAAAAGAAGATGTCTGTAATTTGGGGTTAAACTATGGGGACGTTGGCGCTCTCTGAGCTTGATAAAACCTTGCAGAGGTTTTATTACTGAATTAGGTAACTGTTGTGGCCTGGCGGCTAGCAGAGCTGGCAACAGAGTTGGACAGTGAGGAGGTTGGGGAGGAACCTGGGCCAGTCCTGGAGGCTGAGGAAGGCTCGGATGAGGGCTCTGCATCAGAGGCAGGGATGGGGCCAGGGCAGGCTGGTAGTTATCAGCTGCCTTCAGAGTTGGACAGCAGTGAGGCGGGGGAGCAGCTGGAGCCAGTACCCAGCCTGCGCATAAGCAGAGCTGCCAAAAGAAAAGAACAATTACAAACTAAGGGTCGATGTGGGAATAAGGCCACAGGTGAATGGTGAATGGCCCCTCCCATATGGATTAAAAGAGGAGCAAACAGGGAGGGTGCTTTTGCAGGAAACAATTAGTTCATTCGTTGCAGCAGTGTGAAGATGACTGTGAATCTCAAAGACTCTTCCTTGTCAGCACAGCATTTGAAAATATTCACTTGGCAGCTCTCCAAGCTAGATAAGGTCTGTGCTCCTAATTAGACTCTTGAAAGACTGTTTGCCAGGCCTTTGGCTGAATGTGAATGCAAGAAATTCACCTTCATTTAATAAAAGAACAAAAAACCTGCTTAGTGCTTTTTGGGGAAGCCTAGGTCAGAACAGTAACATCATCAGTGCATTGATGATATTACCTAATTTACTAATGAAACATCTGCAAGGAAATCACCAAACTCGTAATATTTCATCAGTGAAGCAATGGAAGGGCTGTGCTTAGGACATCAGTTGGCTTCAATATGTTCCTGGGGTTAATCGATTCAGCAGCACCCCAACATAAATTAGATCCATCTAAGTCATAGATTAGTAATTCTATGAAGACAGTATTGATTCCTCTTCCTGTTAAAGTGTGCTCCTTTTTTTCTTTTTATAAATCATTTCCAATATTCAAGAAAAGCTTTTATGAGACAATACACATTGGCAGAATTGCTAAGAAATAATTGCACATTGGTGTAGAAAAATTACGTAGAGCTAAATACCCCTGAAGTTGAATAAAATGAAAGATAAATTGATTATAGAATATATGTTTCACTGTGTTACTGTACTGTTTCTGTAAACATTTTTAGAAAGACCAGAATCAGAAAGATGTCAAACATTGAAATGTCCAGATTTAAATCAAATTCTGCAGCCAATACCAGGAATCAAAAATGATTCCACATCCCCAAACATCGACACTTTCTTTTTAGTTTAATTTCATACAGAGCTTGGTGTACAAAGCCTGCTAGCAATTTGTATCCCTATGGGTTTTTAAAGCCAACATAAAACATGGTGATGCATATATACACAGACATTGTGTGTGCATATTTTCCCAGAACTTCTAGAAAACTGTGGTGTAGATCATCCAGTTCAACCTTTTAGATGATGCAGAAAATTCAGGGAAGAGGATTTTTGCCTGTCTTCTGCCTGAGAACATCCATGACTGAGGCTACTATATTATCTTAAACAAACAATTTTCTTAATGCTAACTCAAATTAATCCTCCTGTACCTTGAGCTCGTTATACAGTATATAGTCCAGCTATCTGAGAAAGTAGGGAAATTATCTTTGCCTTTTCTTTTATACAACCAGTCCTTCAGGTGTCTAACTTGGCTTTTCTGTAGGCAAAAGATAACCAAGATATTTCCAAATAGAAGACTTCTTCATTAAAAGTAAAAAAACAGCAGATCGGATCAAATCAGTTCTAGTAGAGACAGCTTCTGGAAATACACCATACCTATATTGCTTTTTGACGTCGTAGCCAGCAACATTAGTTTCCCAAATTTTTGTGGCCAGCACTCGCACAGTATTCAGGAACAGGACAAAGTTCAGCTGTAAAACAGAATTGTTTTATTCCACCATTTTTTAGAGGTAAATGTTTTGAGGACATATTTAGATAAGATAGATAACTTTTATTATCATTTTTTTTTCCTGTGAGCACACTGGCCCACATTAAAAATGAAATTCTGTTGCCTGCTGTCAAGAGAAAGTGTTTATCTATCCAAACATATACATAACACACATATACACATGCTATATATACATAAATATATACTTGTACAAAGTGGACAATCATTTAAATATGAGCCAATAGTGTGCTGCAGCTGCCAAAAAAGCCAACACAGTTTTAGACTGCATAAACAGAGGGACAGAATCAAGATCACGTTCAGAATCAAGATCATTAATACCACTTTATAATGTCTTGGTAAAGCCACACTTGGAATACTGAATTCAGTTTTGTTCACCACGATGTAAAAATATGTTGAGACTCTAGAAAGAGCACAGAGAAGAGCAACAAAGATGATTAGAGGACTGGAGGCAAAACATATAAAGAACAGTTGCTGGAATTGGATATGTCAAGTTTGATGAAAAGAAGGAGTAGGGGTGACATAATAGCAGTGTTCCAATATCTCAGGGGCTGCCACAAAGAAGAGGGAGTCAAGATATTCTCCAAAGCACCTAAGGGCAGGACAAGAATCAGTGGGTGGAAACTAATCAAGGAGAGAAGCAATTTAGAACTAAGGAGAAATTTCCTGACAGTTAGAACAATTAATCAGTGGAACAACTTGCCCCCAGAAGTTGTAAATGCTCCAACACTGGAAGTTTTAAAGAAGAGATTGGATAACCATTTGTCTGAAATGGTATAGGGTTTCCTACCTAATCAGGGGGTTAAAAACCTCCAAGGTCCCTTCCAACTTTGTTGTTCTGTTCTATTCTATTCTATTCTATTCTATTCTATTCTATTCTATTCTATTCTATTCTATTCTATTCTATTCTATTCTACTCTACTCTACTCTATTCATCCAATCTAATTTTATTCTATATTAAATACTGTCAGTGGTGGGATTCAAAATTTTTACTACCGGTTCTGTGAGCATGGCTTGGTGGGCATGGCTTGGTGGGTGTGGCAGGGGAAGGATATTGTAAAATCTCCATTCCCTCCCCACCCCTCTAATCTGCTCTCCAGCTCCGTTCTCCTGTGCAGGGCAACAAAAGAAGACCCAACCGATCAGCTGGGACTCGAGAGGCAGAGAATGGATGGGGGTGGGGCCAGTCAGGGGTTGTACTTGCCTGTTCTCCGAACTACTCAAAATTTCTGCTACTGGTTCTCCAGAAGTGGTCAGAACCTGCTGAATACCACCTCTGATCACTGTCCATTTTGAATACGTCATGGAAGGAGGAAACATGACAGTTCACAAGGTTGATACTGTATGGAATAAAAGTGTGACTGAATGTAGATATTCTGAATCTAGATGAAGTCTCCTCTCAGAAGGTAACAAGGAAAACAGGTTGTGAAGAGGATGTATAGTGTCCCAGACAATACTGCAGATCTTGCTCAAGCTTCGCTTATATGCTATGTCCTGGATAGAAGGAAGTGAACTACCTACCAATGGTTTTTTTCTGCCATCCTCACCACTGCCTTCCTGTGTGAAGCAGTAATGCAGTAATTTCAACCCTTTCTTTTACCTGGAACATAAAACTGTCAAGATGACTGGCAGCAAAGCTGAACCAGTATAAAAAGTCCAGAATCTATATCTAGTCACTTCCAATATTATTACATTTGTTTAATGTATCCCACCTATCTAGGTGCTGTCCAATTTTGATCTAAGCTATTGTACAACTTCTGAGAAGTTGGTTGAAAAATACACGAGTCTGCATATTTTTGAATAAAACTGGCCAAGATAGTGACAGCCATATTTATTTAACTGCTTCCTAGACTAATTCCTTTATTATTAAGTCTCTGATCTCTATAATAAATAATAACATAGTTGCCAAAATGCCTCTTTTCTGAACTTCACACTGAGCACTGGAAAGGAGCAAAGATGGAAGAGTCTTATGAAAAAATAAATGATGCATCACTGTATTAGAGCTGCGTAAAAAAATCCAGTATATTTACACTTCCATTTGCAATCAATTGCAAGAAAGCAAGGAATGCCGACAGTATTGAGTTACCCTGCTATCTAAGTGAGCCAGACCAGGAACAGGCACATAGGGGTAGGAATGGGACAACTCACTGTGGCCAACTCACCACAGGACGACTCGCTGCAGCACATGACTAAAGAGAAGAAGTAAAATTGCAGCTCACCCCAACCTTGAGAACTTCTAATTTGAGAAGGTTCAAATCTAAAGCAGGACAAGGCCTGCTGCAATTAATTTGTCTTTCTCTTGAGTTATCCTGCGGTGATTATCTCAGAGTGAATCAGCCAGTGTGAGTCGGTTGCGACAAGCTGGCCGCAGCAAGTTGTTCTAGAGGAGTGATGGTGAAACAGGATTCATCCCCAAAAATGCACCAGCAATGTACAAAGTCCACAAAACAATGCACCTTGCACCTTAAAAGTACAGAATAGGACTTTAAGAAATACAATATATTTTAACTGTATCTTTTACTATTTTAAAAAGGGGAAATGTAATTGCATCTTTCAATAGGCAATTTAAAGTGGCAGCTTTGAAAGGATGTAGAGTTCAGTGTTGAAATAATTCAAGCAGCTCAAAAGAATAAAAAAGCAGTGAAATAAGCTGGCATGTATGTAGAGGAGTGTTTTGTTCTCACATATCAAAAGCAGTCACAGCATCTCACTCCTGATGGTGACATAAAATGTCATCTCTTGTTCCATAAAGTACAACAAAAAGAAAAGCATCAATAAAAGTGATTGCTCAGTTCTTTGCCAAAATGCTTTCTTGCACAGAGAAAAACTGTCCAGGGGTATGGAAGAGGAATTATCAAACGAGAGCAAGCTCCTAGATTAAAAAAGAAAACAGCAATACTGTAGCTGCGGAACAGATCTGATTGTAATAAAGCTACAGTTTCAAACCACTCTCTTCTCCTTTCCCTTGAAAGACTAGAAAAAGATAAAGGGCTTCAACTTTCAGACTTTCTTTGAAAACAAGGACATAGAAAACTACCCTTAGGTGAAGTCAGATGTTCTCACTCAGAATTATTGTCTGCCTGCTGATGGAGGCATTTTCCCAATCCTATCTGGAGGAGCCAAAAATTGAGCCTAAGATTTGCATAAGAAGCATATAAACACTGAACTAAAAGTCCTCTCTCTAATGGGTAAATATAATTATAGGACTCAACAAACTTGAAAGAATAGCATAGGGACATTCAAACTATTGAAATAAGAGTTGTAAGTATGCTGAATGGTGGGGAAATGGTTGGTGTCTGCCTTCTATGTCACAATCTGAGTTGTTAAAATAATATGCAAATGAGAAAATAACAAATAAGGATGATCAGGTGTCACATGGCTTAGATATGAGATGATGTGGGATAGAGGGTAGAGATGCTAATCTCATTTTATACATAACATTATTTTGCAATTGTCTATAGATAAATACTAGGGTTATCATAACTAATCTGCAAAAATATAAATGTAGATGGTAAGAAAGAGATGTCATTTTCTATATCTCATAGAATAGAATAGAATAGAATAGAATAGAATAGAATAGAATAGAAATCTGGAAGGGACCTTGGAGGTCTTCTAGTCCAGCCCCCTGCTCAAGCAGGAGAACCTATACGATTTCAGATGAGTGACTGTCTAGTCTCTTCTTAAAAACCTCCAATTTCTCCGATTTCTGAAGTCAAGCTGTTCCACTGATTAATTGTCCTCACTGTTAGGAAATTTCTCCTTAATTCCAGATTATTTCTCTCTTTGATTAGTTTCCAACCATTGTTTCTTGTCTTGCTCTCTGGTACTTGTAGAATAATTTGACTCCCTCTTCTTTGTGGCAGCCCCTCAAATACTGGAATACTGCTATCATGTCACCACTAATTCTAGACTAGCCAAACCCAAGTCCTGCAGCTGTTCTTCATATGCTTTAGTCTCCAGGCCTTGGATCATCTTAGTTGCTCTTCTCTGAACTCTTTGTTACCATCCAGCATCTTGCAGATGCTAATATACACAACAATAAGGTTCAATGTTTACTAGATACTTATATGTGAGTACTCTTACCCCAATAGCCACTAAAATTGGAGTTTGGTATATCCATTTTATATTTCCAGCATTAAGCTCCCAGCATCTGTGAAATCAAGAATCTATTTTTAATAAACAGGGTAAGAATAAACAGCCTCAATGTATATTAATTTTCTGTTATATTAGATTCATTCTGGAGAGTGTACAGAATAAGTTTCAGAATTTTAAAAATGATTTCGGGTTCTTTCATCTTTAGTAAACCAAGGCAGGTTTATGGAGAAGAATAAATAAATATGTCAAGTCCCATCTTTGCTGTGAGTCCACAAAAAATAAGAAAACGAAGGTGCAATTTTCAGAAATAATTAATAATAAACTCTTTTTCTTAGCTGGACTAGTTTTGGGATGGAAGATAGAGTGTTCACATATCGGACTGTCCAGCTGCTAAAGTTTGAAAAAATATGTGTGGAGGAATGTGTGGAGCCTGAGTACAGTTTATTCTGAGCCCAGTCACCTTATATGTGTTTTTAGGGCTAGTTGTTCATTTTATATTAGAATTGGTGTTTTATATTATATTTTATATAATTTTATATTATATTTTTGGTGTTTTGACAGCCACACACACACCCTTCAAACCCTGCTATTCTGTGATTCTGTAAGGATCTCCTGCTGGAGCAGGGGGTTGGACTAGATGACCTCCGAGATCTCTTGCAGGCCAGCCCTAGATTCCTGTGCTGCTTCAGTCTTCTGAAGCCAGAGTTTATGTCCTTCCTTCCTCTCCTTTTTTTCTCTCTCCCTCCCTCCCTCCTTCCTTCCATGTATTTATCTATCCATACATATATCTCATTTACTTTCTCCTCTCTTTTTCTTTCTTTCTTTCTTTCTTTCTTTCTTTCTTTCTTTCTTTCTTT